ATGTGAAAATGAACTATTCGTGTTGTCAAGACCTACATACTGTGTCAATTTTGAACTAGCTCACAAGGTAACAGTCATTATTCCCAGATCGATATGAGTTGAAGTGTCTTCGTTCTAGTAAGATGTGTGCTTTTGAGCGAAGCGGAAAATAATAATTTTCATGTTTTTTTGTTAACCCTAATGGATGGGATTATGTTGGGTTTTTTTTTCACTCAAGGCGTTATGGTGGTAGTACCGACAACTATGTGGCTGGTATTTTCTAAGCAATGCCCGTAATATAAAAAGTTCCGCTAAGTTTACAACAGTTATATGTATTTATCGTTAACATACATGTCTTTAATACTGGATTAAAAATTTCGCTTCATGTGTATTCCTCTTGCATTTATTCTTTATGTAGTTTTTAAAATGCAAACATAAAAAGACCAATTCCTATGTGTTAACTTAATCCGTCTCTCTCTCTCTCTTTATCTCTCTGTTAATTTTTTTTTTATGAAAACGACCTGGATGTACGTGTTGTTGTGACTCCGAGTAGCTACTCCCCTGCGAGTCAACAGATTTTAAGGCATACGATATAGCTACAGGGGAGATAATGACGTTGCTAACGTAAAATGTAATTTTTCGCGACGTCAAACTGTGACTCTGGAAAAGATCCTATTTCGACTGATTTTAATCATGAGCTGAAAAACGAGTGAATATTATGTGTATCAATTTTTATGAACAAATCACCGATGATCTATTTTCAAATACGATAAATAAACAGCAAAACAAACCAAAAAAAAAAAAAATTACGGTTTTTCTAAAATCTTGAAAATTTAATAAAAGTGAATTATTTCTAAAGTTACATAAATTTTTAGCATACTTATGTAAAAAAAGATATTACAAATGGTTTTACAAAAATCCGCTTGTGTTTTTGTTTTGAAACAAAAAGTTAGGTATGTTCTTCTGAAGGATAGAAATTGATAAGAAACCCCGATTTTGGATAAATGTCTAAAATTTCGACCCCATTCATCTCTAAAAGTAGCAAATGCAGGTATGTTTTTAATTACATATTTGAATTCCCAACGTAAAGAATAGATGGTAGGCAAATTTTCTTTAAAAATCACCGTCGGATCAAAACTGTATTTTTTATTCAGTTTCTACACATACAAAGCAGTGCCGGCGGCCTCGGTGAAAAAAGGTTTTTTCAAGTCAATGAAACCACGAATTTGCACCTTCAATAGACAGTAATTATTGTATAAAATGAAAAATTAACAAGTTATTGACGTTCCACTTTAACATACTGTATTGTGTCCTTAGTTAAAAAACTGGGTACATTCTAATAAGATTGCCTATTTGCATGTCAAGTACAATTTTGTGATTTGTTGTTGTGAAAAATACATAATGCGATGAGAAACCCGTTGTTTTAATTATTTTTGAAGACATTTACTTGAAAAACTGGCCTCACAATTTTGGCACTGTACGATTCATTCTCTTTGTAGTTTGTTTACTATCTTTATTACCGTTCGTTGTACATTCTTGTACTGTTCTTTGTGCAAAAGCCTATCAATATGATAGAAATAAGTATGACACGGTGTAAATGCTCTTTGTTATCTAAAATGCATCCATTAGAGCTATGTTCCTAATGCTTGTAGTTTAAAGGTTTGGTTGGCCTACTTGCTTTGTTTGTATAAATGCTTGCTCAATATAAATTATAATGCTTAAGCAAACATTTATACAAACAAAGCAGCAAGCCAACCACACCTTTAAACTACAAGCATTCGGAAAATAGCTCTAATAACGTTTAATGTATCCGTATATGCGTTGTAGATTTAGACCGAAACAGAAACTTTGCTTTTTCGGTGACGTGGATTGGCTTAACTGTCCAAGATATATGTATTCAATGAAGGCGTGTTATAGGAAAGGATAAATTTTATCCTACATATAGATCTGGATCTGGACAAATTATTAGAGAAAAAAAAAATTGACTATATTAGCAATAAATGCCATTTTTCAGGAATTTATTGATATATTACCTCAGACTTTCACTCACTAAGTATGTATATATATAATCAATCTCATAAATTTTGCTAGAGAGTTGGCTGAATTAAGACTTTATATAATGGAAAATTAATTAATTTTCTTCTGTGAAAATGCATCGCATGTACAATAGAAATGAATCGCACTACAGTGAAAATGAAAGTCTAGTATCATTATTCGACAGTAAACATGAATCGCATAACGAAAACAGCATAGTGGAATTTGATTCAATATCAACAAGCTGAATAACAAAACCTGTTTTAAGTTATACAACATTAATAATTATGTCAAAAGGTACATTTTACTGCAAATGAAACTTAACTGCTACTTTTAAAACTCTTGCACGCTCTGTTCGTGAACTATTCTTAATATTTATCTATTTGTGTATCAATTTTGTACCTGGATGGCAGTAGGCGCAATGAAAACCCGTCCGCATCTCATACCTATATCATGAATTTATAAAAACAGTACACATTATATATTATTTCTTATTTTATTCAAAAATCATGAATTTATCGTCTGTTTATTTATCATTCTTCATCAGAAATTCATCACGGATACAGTAAAAATGACATTTCAGGAATCGCACATTACATACACTGAGACCTCTACTTCTCATATCAAAGGACTTTCTTTGTAATTTGTAACTCAATACATATGTAGATCAACGAATTAAATCTTCGATAAACCAAATTACGCCTTTGAACATGATATAAGTATGATTATGAATGTAAAAGAGTGTAACATTTACAATTGGTCTTTGCTTTGTTAGCTCTACAGTTAACTTACACAAAGAAGGAGACCAGTGCTCTGTTTTCAATATCTAACTTCATTGAAAATTTTAAGATTCTATCTTGAATAATTTTTGAATACCATCCATCTCAACATGTTTGTTAACATTGGAATTACCTTTAATTACACATATTATTTTTAAAAATCCAGCAGCATTCTGCTATTGAAAAATGTAAACATTAATAGAAAATACATGAATTAAATGTGTAACTTGAGGACAATGTTCCATTTTGAGAATATTATAAAACATTAGATCTTTGTAGCGTCCGTAACTCAAATAACTTACTGTGTTTATTTTAATTAACATTTACGTAAGAAATGAATTTTTATCTGTGATTTTTTCCCAATGAATACACGTTTGGTTAGTTTTCCTTTTCCAATGAATAATAGGTCAACTGTTATTAGTTTTTATATGCTACACGTATAAAGTCATCCATGTTTTTAGTTTTTATATGCTACACGTATAAAGTCATCCAGTTATTGGCATGATACGGGTTATGTTCTTCTCATATATTTTATGATGGTATGATACTAAACCCCTTACGGGAGGGATTGTACTTGATTTTCATATAATGAAGACATAATCTTTCAATCAGTTTAATTGAGGTCTGGAGCTGGCATGTCAGTAACTGCTAGTAGTCCTTTGTTCATTAATGTATCATTGCCATTTTGCTTAGTTTCTTTTGTTACCTATTCTGACATCGGACTTGGACTTCTTTTGAACTGAGTTTTACTGTGCATATTGCTATGTGTTTCTTTATTCTACATTGGCTAGAGGTATAGGGGGAGGGTTGAGATCTCACAAAACATGTTTAACTCAGCCGCATTTTTGCGCCTGTCCCGAGTCAGGAGCCTCTGGCCTTTGTTAGTCTTGAATGTGTTTTTAATTTTAGTTCATTTATATGTTTTGGAGTTTAGTGTGACGTACATTTTCACTGAACTAGTACACAATTTTATTTAGGGGCCAGCTGAGGACCACCTCCGGGTGCGGGATTTTCTCACTGCGTTGAAGACCCATTGGTAGCCTTCGGCTGTTGTCTGCTCCTTGGTCGGGTTGTTGTCTCTTTGACATATTCCCCATTTCCATTCTCAATTTTATTCATTAAAGGTTTTGTGCTGTTCTCTCAACAATCATATTTTTCACTAATCAATAATGGGGGTATATTTTTGCAGAATACAAAGATATATTTTTTTACCTGTGATTTTTTTGTTATTTGAATTTTGTTAGTTAATTGTATTGGAATTATACCACTTGTGAAATATATATATAACTATTATAAATATTAATCTATACGTAAAGACATAAAATTGCAGAGGTTAATTTTACAAGTAGTGTCCGTAACTAACACGTACCTTACCAGATACACATTATAATATAAAACACATCTGGTTATTTTTTCCACCAACCAAATTAGTTATTTATTCAGGATAACAATTTTTTTTTCAAATGTGTTGACCTTTATTTTTGACCCTAAGTGCAATCTTACTGATTCTTTTATTGTGTTTAACCCGAATACTTGTGGCTGAATGTTCAGCAAACTATTCGATTGATTGATTGTTGGTCGTTTAACGTCCAGTGGTAAATATTTCATGCATATTCAGGACCAAGAATGACCATATTTCTATTCCCCAGACACCATTAGGTGGACAGCAAAAGGAAATTAATCGTATACTTCTATGGGCTATTGATTTTTATCCTAATTTTCTTCGGACGTGGGATTATGCATGACATACTTTGCCACAGGACGTTTAGTGAGCAACAACCAATTAATCATCTGTAGTGGCAAACAAAACTAAAATATAGTTTTTAATGAACACATATAAATGTACATACTCAAAGGGTATATTTGTGACACATTGTTGTTAATTTGTTGTACTATAGTGTATGCATTATTTGAAGTTCTCCTAAATGTTTAAAATTGTTTGTATATATTACCATTTACTTCCTTCACTGTACGTATGAAACTAAATGAAACTATTTCATCAGTATTATTCGCTTTAGAATGGGAAGCTTAACAAAATCATTCGGACTACCATAATGGCGCAAGATGAAGAGACAGTCTGTGGGTGCTGCCCTTTCAATAACACATGCATATTAATTTTGATATCGGGATTATTTTTATAAGATGCAGTCTTATACATGAAATATCATTCTTATTTCAATTTTACTTATTTATTTGTTTGACAGGATTAGAACATTACTCAAAACTCTTATGTGTGTCGGCATTGCAACTGCCTATCCTAATTTTAAAGATATCCTTCCGAATGGAAACGAAGTACCACATCCATGTAAAGCGAACTACGTTTGGCATGGTGTAGGCCACAACAATCCACTTGGAGGTGGAAGTAGAAACCAGTTTGGTTTGGATTTTAAAACAGCGGGATTGGTATGTTGAAAGCATAACTTTTATAGAACACGAATAACATAAATTGATTGATTGTTGTTTGTTTGTTTGACGTGTCGTGTTTATCTTTATGACTGTATATGATATATAAATTCATTAGGTAAGTTTTGTAAAGCATGACCGGGATAAAGAACAGGATATATTAACTATCTTTGGAAAAGAGGTGTTTGGATACGGATAGAAATTTTGTCTTGCAACAGACTATATACATGCGATAGAGTTGTTGCGTAGGTTCTTGAACGTTCAGACTGAGTTGCACTCTCCCGGAACACGTCATTTTATTTCCCAGTTTGCACTAGGTGTACAAAAAAAACCCTGCAATAATCGTCTGAATGTTCCTTATAATTGATGGTTCCTACCATTTTGACAGTAGGTTTAGTGTGCTAAAAGTTTGATAGAACACTCCAAGTAAAACACACGTACCAGTAAAGCTTCAGTGAGACCGGAAATTAAAAACAAATACCCAGGGACGGAACATTGAAGCATTCACATTTGAAGAAATATTCAACCTTTTTGGTAAAACATGTAAAACACATTTTATGGAGTAAATTATATCGCTTAGCCAAAACATCTTACGTTAAATATAAAAAAACTGATTCCCTTTTTCATTTTTATTTATCAATGGTCATAATCGATTATACAATGACACCAGGCATACAATTATAACTTTTTTCCTTCTGTTTTTACCACTTGGTTTGACTGGGATAATCAAAGTAGGCATATATTTAGAAAAATGCATGCTAAAGAGGTGCATCCGTTCCGCTGTGGAGGATACGACGACACGTGCGTTTAACCGGGCCGTCAATCCTTGGACCGTGTGTAGTGAGAGTTTCACAATCTCCGCATGTTCAAGAAACTTGTAGGGGTCATATTGTGGCTTATTAATTTTTGCCCTACCAACTTTTTTCCACTGGCTGCCGAAATATACTGTTCAGCCCGAGGTGGATCTACCTTGCTTCAACATATCTAAGTACTTTGATTTTTATATATAGTTGTCTTACTGACAACCATACAGAATCTTCTTTTATTTCTATTATCGTCCTAAATAGGTAAGAAATACCATTCATTAAAATTTAAGCAAACAACAATCAATAAATGTTTTGTGTTTTGATTTTGATTGTTTCTCATTCTATCTTAGTTTAAACAGTATTTATTAATGAAAAATCATAGCAATGAAGTAGTACAATGTTACATGAAATTCAAAAATGGGATTCGGAAACAAGTTTGGAAAACTTTTATAAATCCGTCTCATTCTATCTTCGTTTGTTTGTTCATGATAGAAGAAGTCTAGAGTTTTAAGCGTATAACTTATGATACGTGCACAATAAAAAAGATAATGAATTCAAATATCAAATATTTAATTTCATCTTTAAAGACGTCGTCTCGCGGCAAGACACATTTAACCATACGAATTTAAAACTGATTAATAACATGTAGAACATTGTTGGCTCTGACGGATTACTATGCATAGAATCTCATCGAAATTAATTTGCATTTAGTCATGGACACCTGAATTATGTAGAAAAGATTCTGATGGAGACGGAAGAACAAATGGCGAGGAACTTGGAGATCCTGATTGTGTCTGGAAACAAGGGAATTTACCATCACGTTTAACAGATATAACACACCCAGGTAGGATTGAAAAGTGGAGTGAGACATGTTTCGATCAAAAGGTCTTGTGACATTTTCGGTTTTAATGGAAATTTGTATTTATTAAGCTTCATTTCCCAATTGTTTCTTTTTTAAATGTCGAAAATAAATTGATTTTTCTTTATGAATGTCTGCTTCTTTTCTTGACCAAAAAGTAAAAACCATTGCAGCGAATTTGTGAAAAGAGTATTAACTGAAACACAGTCACATATTCTATGGTTCATGTAAGAAATCAGATATTTGCGTCCCGTGTGTGCGTGTACATTCGTTCGTCCGTAACACTTGTGCATCTTTGAAGTAGTAACGGCTGCGGACATAATCCATAAAGAAACTTAATTCAACAGCGGATTTTAGATAGCAGGGTTCGTGTGATGCTTAATAATTTTCTGTAAAGTGTTCAGCTGACTTCTGATTGTCTTCTCGTTTTTGTTTTTTTGTCTTTATGTTGTTTGTGTTTTATACTGATTTTATTGGTATCATTGAGCACATATCATACATCCAACCATTACAGAAGATCTTATAAGTACATATGGTAATTTTCAGGAGTGTGCACGTTATCAGATGGGTCTATCTGTGATGCTGACAAGGGATGGATAGATTGTCAAGTGGAAGACGGACTGGAAAACTGCAATGTTATGAAAGAACCAGGTAAAACTTAAAAAAAAAAATTACATACAAGGTACAGGATAGGATTTTGTCAGTATACGAAATACAGGGACAAGGGCTATATGAAATTGGCCTAGTTAACTACCCCCTGATGCAGATGACGGATATAAGTAGTTTGTAATGAGATATCAACTTAGCGGCACATGAACCCAAGAACATTTCCAGGTGCACATATGGACCTCTACAATTGATTGTGCCTCAACATTGCACCAAGCTTTTAATAGCCGCGAGTCTTAAACGTGCTAAGTAACTATTAGATAAAAAGTATGCCATCAATAAAAAAAAAACCTTAGTGACAAAAACATAAAGATATAACATAAAATTACCACTGACGCTATTGCTGACTTGGGACAGGCACATGGACTGGGGTTATGTATACAACTCTATCCTACTGGTTTTCGATATTTTCCCATGAATAAAAAAAAGATATATATAAAAGATCTTAGCGAGTTCCTATGTAGGCATTTTTGACAAAGTGAGTATATATAGTATGTCTTACACTGAGAATTCTTGTTATGTTCTCCATCACTTTTTTCGTCTGAACATAAACTATTTCTGATTTTATAAAAGGAACATCAAACAATGTTACTGTAGTAGATACACGTCAAACTGTTTTAATTGGTAGACATTTTTACGATATATCAAACCATCAAGAAAAAAGTCCATACATCAAATTTTACATCTCCATTAGTATCGATCACCCAGCCGCTTAATTCTTCAGAGTATTTATATACGCGTTTGGATAATCGAGACTACATCTCCATGTGAATACACAAATCTACAAAAGAGAATACACAGATTAAGAGTATTAATCTAGGAATTATGCTACATTATAAATGAAAGAAAGTTGTCGAACAAGTTTGGTGTGATGAAATGAAATGTGCGTGTAAAATAGTATATAAAGTCTGATAACCGATTTACTCAATTTTGTTAAACTGAAACTGTGAAATAAAAATAATCTCAAAACGAAAAGAAATAAAAAAGAAAGTAAATGAAGACTTTGGATTTTTTTTATGAATTTATGATGTGAGGTTAAGGTAACTCAGTCAGGATTCTACTTCGTCAAAATTATCTCCCCATTACGCCAGCTGAATTTTACAATCGTAAAAATGAAGCCATTGTAGGGATCGATGACGCGCTGCCAATTTAGCTCTTTAAGACCGATAAATTTATCCACATATCACCATTACGATTCTCATTTGCCAGTTGTATTTTAAAAGACTAACGTATTTCTGATCGCTTGTCAGGTGGAATTTTCGAAAGTTCTAAACATTAAAAATTTTCTAATTAAATATTTCGTGGAAGGGCAGACTAAACAATGTTGAAGACTAATAACTAATAACACGCACAAAAATGATTTTTTTTTGAAGTTATGCATTTTTAAGATCCACTTCTTAAGTCTGTCAGTAAAAATTTGTTATTCGAACACACCTACTCTGTTGTTATGACTCATTAGAAGGGTATTTCACTTGACCCATATATTTCATTTTTTAGTACTGAGAATTTTTGATGTTATTAAATCAACCTGTAGCCTATATATATAAAGATAATAGAATCTGCCTTTTACGTTTTCAAGACATAATAGTCAACTCAAACACGCCCGAACATAAAAAGGTGCACTCGACTTTCTCTTTCCATACAGATATACAATCAAAGATCTTGAGCTTAATGAGCCAAACTCATCCATTTATATGTGTAATTCGGACACACATTTGTTAATTATATATGAGAATATATGATTTATGAAGATATATTGGTACAGAATGAAAATTAATCACTCTGGGTATGGTGCCCCCTTTTTTTTTGAAAAAAAAAATCAATTTTAAAAATTTATCGAAAAATAAAAAATCTTCTCCTCTGAAACTACTTGGCCAAATTTAACAAGACTTGACCACAATCATCATTGGGGTATTTAGTTTAAAAAAATGTGTCCAATGACCCGGTCTGCCAACCAAGATGGCTGACATGGCTAAAAATAGAACACAGGGGTAAAATGCAAGTTTTGTCTATTATTTTGAAAAATGTTATAAATAGAGAAAATATAGCGCAAAAATGTTCAGAATGTTGAGCTCTACCAACTGTCCATATACGTCAAAACTGTCAGACAACTTCTTAAAGGAGTTATTGCCCTTAAATGACAAATTTATCCTTTTTTTTTGCCTATAATCTTGAAAACTATGATAGAAAGAGAGAAACTTTAAATTGCAAATATGATCAGCAAGACAAGTTACAAACAAGTATGCATTGTCAAAATCGTCAGTCTACTCTTTGCCCTCTGATGACGATTTGTACCATTTTTTTTTGCCTTGTATTTTAAAAACTATAAAAGATAGATAGAAACTTAAATGAGCAAAAATTATCAGGAAGACAAATTCTATAATTAAGACAAAGAGAGGAAATCATCCTACGACTCCTTATTGGAGTTATTTCCCTTTAATGATAATTTTTTTTACCATTGTTTTTGCATTTTGCCTTATATGATTAAAATATAATAGATAAATAGACACTTTAAATCACAAAAATGGTCAGCAATGATTGATCTACTAACAAGTCAAATTTTGCTGACATAGTTAGTAGACTGTCACTTTTTATAGGAGTGATTGCCCTCAAATGAGGATTTTTTTTAACCCTCTTGTGTTTTGAGCAAAAACTAAAGAAGATAGAATGAAACTAAACAGACCTTATAATCATTAATACAAGATCAACAAAACAGAGATTTTTGTCATCAATTCCATTCTCGTCTACAATGTTGGAGAGTGTCCTTTGTTAAATATGCACATAGACCAAGGTGAGCTACACAGGCTCTTTAGAGCGTCTAGTTTGACTCTTCACCAAAAAGACATTCTGAAGATGTACAGAAGAGACAAATAAAACACGCCCCTCGATGCGTCATCCCTTACTTGTGCAGATACCTTATGTTACGAAGATTCCGTCTGTTATATGTCCATTGTTCTTGATCTCATTTTCATGGTTTAGTGACTGCTTGAAAATAAATTACAATCCCAATACTCAATTATTTTGAGTCATAGGATAATTTTATTTGGTATGTGGTTTCCTTGCAACGTCTACATTTCCGTCAGGTAAGGTTCACCTGACCTCGACCTCATTCTGTAGATCAGTTAAAGTTACGAGGTCATGTCTGTATCTCAGATACTATAACCAATAGGTCAATTATATTTTCTGTATGGAATGTCAGACTGGCAGGTTTCATCTGACTTTGACCTCAATTTCATTGTTCATGGATAAAACTTGTTTTTTCGGGTTTGGTCTATTTATCGGATACTTTAAGCTATGGGACCATTCTATTTTGTGTATGGAACAATAAAATGGAATGATTGCAAGGTGTACATGTCTGTCTGCCATTGTTCACCTGACCGTGACCTCATTTTCTTAGAACATTGATAATGTTAAGTTAATATGGTACTTGTTTTAAAATGTTCATTAACAGAGTTCCACAGCAATTCATTGATAAATGAAACAGGCGAGACATTTCAGTGTGTGGATTCTTGTTAGGCAGATCTTACAGTCTAAGGTTAAAGTTTTTAAAGCATCAATAATCTGATTCAAACCAACACAGAGTTCCATGAAACTTTTACTCTGACTTCATTATAGCCATTTTTAAAGTGATAGTATCCTGAGCCAATATTTTTTTTTATTTGTTCATTATGTTTTGTTTTACTGATAAACATGTTACGTCATTGTTGAAGGCAACATCTATGTCATTTCGTCTCTGGTGGAGAGTTGTCTCATTGGCGATTATACCACAAATTCATATTTTAAAATATAGACTGAAATGTTTTTGGATTTCAACATTATTCTTTTTCACTGACAACATCAGTCCAAGGCAAGACACTTGGTTATGCGTAACCATTCACATTTTTTTCATATTTCTGAGAAATCTTATATCTATAATTAGGAGGAGGGGGTACATATACTGCCCTCAACCATAGAAGAAATGTTATGCTTAAATGCACAAAATATTAACAAGAAAGCACAATTAAATACCACATTTTTTTTCGACAAATTTTATAATTTGAAAAAAATGATTTTTGTTCCAAAAAAAAGGGGGGGGGGGCACCATACACAGAGTGATTATTTTTCATTCTGTACGAATATATCTTTATAAATCATATATTCTCATTTATAATTAACAAATGTGTGTCAGAATTACACATATAAATGGATGAGTATTGCTCATTAAGTTCAAGATCTTTGATTGTTTATCTGTATGTAAATCTGGATTTTTGTGAAAATTGACAATTTTTGAATGAAAATATTTTTTAAAGAAAAAAAAAACGCACGTCTTTCTTTTTATTTCATGAATATATAATATGGTGTCTTTCAAAATTTGTCAGTGACATGTTATGGTATTGTTGGTCTTGGGAGATAAACAGAAATAAAATTTTGCGATTTTCAAAATTTTTTATTATCGAATTTTTACATATTTTTAAATGGTTGCTATGGAAACAAACTATTAGATAAATTCAAAATTGTAACGTTTTTTAACAGTTTGGGGTTTTATTTGTCAACAATGTAAAAATGCTTATTGTTTGTATTGATTAACTTAATTGCAATTGTACTTTAAAATCCCTTATTTTTTCAATTTTCGAAAGGCTACTTTTGCACGTATTTAGGCAAAATTTTGTTAGGACGGTTTCCATGGCAACCAAGGTTCAAAAGAAAAAAAATAAATATATGAAACTTAATTTCATACCATACCTTCTTCATAAACAAAATATAAAGATATTTAAAGAGGGGTCATGAATCGTCAATCAACTGGAACCTGCATGATTCTTACAAAGACAGGTACTTAAAAGTTTACAAATATCTCGAAACTCCATACTATAATTTAAATAAAAACACGTATATGAGATGCATAAAATCCTCAATAATGCACCTTTATCAAACTTTTAAAGCCCATAGAAACAGATGTAAACAATTCAAATATACCAATTCGGCGATTTTACCTTCTCTAACAAAGAGTTCCATTTCTTTTGTTTAATTTCAACTTGGTATCCGCCTGAACTTTGACAGCGAGAATATATTAAATACTGATATACTATTCTTGTCCATACTTTTTGTCTTATTTCATTTACCCAGACATTTAAGTCGTACGATTTTGTTTTCAGAGACATTAAATACAACCATTCGTTTTCCTGAGACGGCAGTGCCAGCTGAAGAAACAACGTATTCCTGTATGATCTTCAATCTTCCTTCTGACCAAGATTATCATCTGGTGGCATATGAACCTTACATAGATAATGACAAGGTCATGCATCATATATTAATTTACGGATGTGATCCGAATGGTAGGTACATTATGACAACAACACGAATATCATGCGTCCGAAGTTTTGATAAAATTTACTGTCATTACGAATGCCCAATGCCGAAATAATATTTAAAAGCCAAGGATGTATAAAAAGTAGCCAAATAGTCCAAATAAAACTCATTACATACAACCAAACACATACTTTTTTATCAAGTAGATTATTAGAAGTACAACAAAAAGGTATAATACAGGCTTTTTTAATAAACATATATTTGTTTTTAAATGTTTATAATTACTCTAAATATCAGTACAACAATGTTAAATCTGCAAATTTGCGGAAGCAAATTTTTGCTCTTCCTTCGTCGGGATTCGAACTCATGCTATTGAGATTTCAAAACAACACCGCCTGCACTGTGTCCAGCGCTCTATACCACACGACCACCTAGACTGAACTAAAAATTCAGCTTTCGGTGGCCTAGTCTTACCTTTCCTTGTCATTAGAATCTAGAGTTGTAACACAGTACATGATATATTAGGCATGGAGATGGAATTGATTGCAGTTTAGCTAAATTATCTACCGTAGAGGATCGTAAGATGCAGTCACAAAACTAGTTATTTGATAAGTACTTCTAAACAAGTGACAACTCTACGACATATCCATCCATTTGATCACCAGTGAAGGTGATACACGGCTAAAAAAAACATGTTATATTCATAATTACTCTAAATATCAGCACGACAATGTTAAATCTGCAAATTTGCGGAAGAAAATATTTGTTCTTCCCTCGTCGGGATTCGAACTCATGCTATTGAGATATCGAGACAACACCGCCTGCACTGTGTCAAGCGCTCTAAACCACTCGGCATTCATGATTTGGTCAGTACCTCAGCAATAAAACTAGAGATACAAATATTAATTACTGTCGAGATAAAATAAGTTTTCATTTGAATCTGAGAAGAAATTAAATAAATACATGTTTATACTTATACAGAGGCCACAGTACCAGACGAACAGCTCAACACAGTTACCAAATGTGGCATGGGAGCAGGTGGTAGCTGTAATAAACTCATCGGATTATGGGCGGTTGGATTTCCTGGATATTGCATAGATGGACCAATGGGATTCCGTTTTGGTCAAAATGGATTCAAACAGGCCGCATTAGAGGTTCGAAAGTAGAAAAAATCTTTAAAATAGGATTTCACAAACAGAGAAGAAATTATATTCTCCTACACGTAGTTCCTCTGATATTGTAAATCACGAAGTTTTATAAAGATGTATAATAACATTCTTCAGAAGCTAACATTTTTGCATTAGGCCTTCAAACGTTTTATATATAAAAGAAAAAAAAAACAATTCATCTCTTTTACAAATTTGACAAGAACAATATTTAAAAAAACATTTGCCTTCACACCGATGTTATGATATGACCAACACCCACGCCCTAACTAATTTTTGCCACAAAAATGTCGATGGTAGTCAAATGTATTTTTGAGTAAAGTTGCTCATTTCGTTTAACACTATAATTAACTATTTCTTCAATGAAATGTTTTGCTTAATAATAACAATCATAACATGTTGATATCATAATGACTTTGAACTTATGTTTCGTCAGTACAGTGATCGGAGTGTGTCAGTTTATCATTTTTTCTTTAACAAAAGTTAATTCAGCTTAAATAGAATTGAGGTCATTTACTTTTGTCAAATCTCCATGGAATGTTATGAAACTTGAACAAATGCTTCTTTAGGATAAAAAAACAAGCATTTGAAGAAATATGTTCAATTTAAATTTTTGCTCGTATTTTACTGATAAAAGGATTTAGTGGATACCTGAAAAAAATAAGTATTAAACAATTATGATTGATTTTTGTTAAAAAAAAGATTACTACTGTTGAAGAGAAAAAGAGAAAAAAAAATGTTTATCAAAAAGATTTATTGTTAAAAATGACAATTTTATCAATTCATAGTTTCACTGGAACAATCCACAGTTAGTAGCGGATTGGAAAGATTCATCGGGAGTTACTCTTTACTATACTCCGAAACTTCGAGCAAATGATGCTGCCATATTGCAGACTGGTCAGTCATATATTGAAATTCCACCTGGACAGCAGAGTTACACAGTAGTTGGGAAATGCCATGCAGAATGTTCAAGGAAACTAATACAAGAACCAATCAACATATTTTGGGCTACAAATCATATGCATTATTTAGGTAATAGTTGTTTCTTATTTAAGAAAACCAGAATTAAAAAACTACAAACGCTTGATGTTTCTCAAACCAAAAATTGATGTCAATACTATGCGAATTTGCAATTTCATAACATAAAGGATGAATATAGTGATTGCAGACCAAGGCTGTGTTGATTCCTTTAAATAAAACTAACGGCTTTTATGATATAAAACTAATTAAACACATAAATTCTAATATTTATCACTCCAATAATTCATTCATCACGTAAGCCCTAGACTCCTTGTGATTATCATATTATTGGAAATATTAAAACAAACTTACATTTATTAGAACCTTTTTAACCAAAATAAATTGATGAAATAATTCATTTTTAATTCATAAAAACCAGTAACGCACATATCTATACTATTAAATGAGAAGACCTCATTTTGTGTGTCGCTTCTCTTCCTTCCACAATAAAATAATGATCATTCCTCTGTGTCCTATAGGTACCATGCATAGTCGCATTTGTCACCCTCGCTTATTATTATTCAGTTTGGGTTTTTTTGGGTGAAAAACGAAAATAAAGTCGTCCGAATATTGTTTCCGTCATCGGACAGAATTTTAAGTCATAGATATGACTTCCGTTTAGGACTGTTTTTAAAATACTTGGGGACAGGACAATTATTTTTCGCGTTTTTTTGTGTATACTATGATCATTCATATACTATAAATAAAGCGTATTTGCTGTTTACTATCAATTTCAAGTTTACTCTCCACAGCGGTCTCTGATATATTATATAGATTCTCTATATAATAGTATCAGTGACCGCCATGGATAGTCCAAATAGTTATGACGTCTTGAAAGGCTGTTTTAATTATTCACAGAAAAAGAAAAATAGCCTTTCAAGACGTTATCATTAATTGGACTACGCCGTGAATAGTAAACTTGGAATTGATACATTGACAGTAAATAGCAATTACACTTTAATTACAGTAAATATGTATATTCATAGTATACCGAAAAACGCGAAAATAATTGAAATTAACAGAAAACAAAAATAATGGGAAAACGGGAGAGGACTAAAAAAATTGTCCTGTCCCCAAGTACCACGCTCTAAATGCCCGCGATTTCGCGGGTATGTTCTAGTTCCCTTTAAAAAGTGTTCTAAATGTCATTAGGGCTTAACTTTTGCACACTGCTGTATCAGTTGATCACGTATAGTCGTATACGTTACATACATAATATAGCTGACAAAACTGAGCATTAAACAATCTAGATGAAACATAAGTAGTTTTCATTTGAATTTTCCTTGGAGTTCGGTATTTCTGTTACTTTACTTTTTTCATTTGAACTCATTAATACAATTCCATGTGCATTTAAATTGTACGGTTGTTTTTCATTGGGAATCAAAAGGTAGTAAACGAACTATGATGATGCGATGAATGAAATTTATTATATTTTAGTGGTTTACAATTAGTTTGTACTGTATAAAAAATATTTTAAGATCTCGAGTTGTTTTTATGTCTCAACTCAAAAGCGACATGTTTTAAATCTTTAGGTAACAGAAACGTCATCTGTTCTGTAAATTTACCGCTTGTATCCTATTTCCTTTTGTGATATTTGACTGAGTGTGGATTTACATGAGGAGTGATATTCATGTATAGCAATAGACACCATGTGGTCGCACCTGGTCTCGATCCGTTTGGAGTCGTTCGATTTCCTCAGGTTTTGTTTATCCTGTGTTTGCATATATATGTATTGATTTAGGAGTTATACATCAGTATAGTCCTTTTGTCTCTCACTAATACTCAAGACCTAAGACCATTATGAAGTGGACGTTGTTGGTAAATTTTGATTGTGTTTCTGTCATTGTTTGAAAAAAACAGGAAATGAAGTTGGTTACATTGAAATTGGATTAAAGTACGTTATATTGCATGTTTTTTGTATTTTCTGTCTGACGAGTTTTTTTTTGTGGAGCACATCTCCTTCCTTGGTTTGGCAATTTTGAGTCGATAGTTGTATACGATATTTAAAGTTTTTGTTGTATTCTGGTGTACGTACCTACTCGACAGAAGTTTTCCTTTGATTTAAAAATAAACTTATTGAACGCTGTTACATATTATGTAAATATTTGGTTTCCATTCGTGGTAATAGGTTATTACAAACCAATACTGTATTTAGTTTGGGTTTAATTCATTTTGGTAAAATTTCCTGCCTTTGAGTAGAAAAAACATTATATGAATTGTATTTGAACACATATCTGTTTGTCCATTCCTTTAATTGTAATATATGACACTTCTCTATTTTTCTTAGATTCTATGTGAGTTTTGTAACAAGCTAGATTTGATGAATAAATATAATTTTGTTGTCAAAAATTTTCAGGACATGAAATGAGTATTCAGGTATACAGAGACGGTGTGTTTTATACAGAACTTACAAATGATGCTATTTATAACTATGACAGTCCTGTAGAGAACAAGTGAGTATACAAATCAAGTTTCATTGAGATATATAAATCTAAAAACCAGAGTTGTGAGTTACGTTATGTATCTTGCTTTTTACTATTTTTATCTATATCTATATATAATACAAACTCTCATAATTTATTTGCAAGCAATTGTACCCGTCTCGTAAAATAGGGACTATATTGCAATCATCTTGTCCGACTATTCGTCTGTCCGTCTGTTCGTCCAACAAATATTTTTTTCATATGTTTCACAAAAACCACTAAACAGAACAACTCTATATTTGGTCAGCAGCTTGATACTGATGAGTTATACTGTGTGAGCACTTTTCGGATCTTGATGAAACCCTCTTGATATTTCTAGACACTATGAAGATGCTAATTAATTGAATGAGCTTAACATTTTTGTCTCACATTTATTCAGTTTACTAAACAGAATGCCTTAATATTTGGCGAACGGCTTGATAAAGATGAGTTTTAAAGTATGATCATTTTTTATCTGTTAGATACCTGGTTCCTGCGTATCGATACTATGATTTTTCAGCATATGGAATAAAACAAAATTCTGTACACTTTTCTCACTTTTGCCACATGTAACTGCTTTTTGGACACGTGATACCTCGTTTCTGATAGTTTGAATTACTAGTGATTGATCGCTTTCATTCTTGTTGATAAATTGCCAATATGGACTAGAAGAGACTACAAGGGCAATCGCATGAACAATTTGAAGATTCCAGTAAAATTATCGAACTGTCTATGCAGACAGCATATCCCCTGGGTCTAAATGACAATATACTGGGACAAGGGAACATATCTAAAAGTTCTTGCATTGATATCATGAATATTGTTGATAAAAGACAACGGATTAATAGGTCTCATGGCAAACGTATCAATCGAAATCAACGAATTAAACATCGTATAGATTATACACTTGATGATCTCCTGTTTATATTTAAAAACAATGGTAGGAATCAATTATTATGAAAACTGGGTCAAATACCAGTACATTATTTGATATTTTCAAGGAGTGTGACACAATCTCATTCTTCAGCCCACTCTATGAATATTCGCGTACAATTACAGCTTTTTTACCACCATAGGCTGTTCCCGTGTATCGATAAACCTGACGATCATAAACGGCATTTTCCGGAAATTAAATATATTAACAGAGGTATTGATTTCATCAAGTTATCGAGTATATTTAATGACTCTTCCATTAAAAACTTTATACCCCCCTATTTTGATAACACAGAACCACCTATTATTTCGTATACATACAAAAAACCCAGTAGAAGTTTAATTTTTAATCATACGTCAGTAACATCAGACGTCAATGTAGAAAATAATACTCCTCTAACTTGAGACTGTGAATCGTCGAATTTTAGATATGATCCCTATGGCCATGTTATTACGGGGGGACCTCAATATCGTTCAAGACCGAGAGATTAAAATTCTTTTGAAAAAAAGGGCCAAAATATCGTCCTCCATCTAAAGTAGATTGGAAACAGTGTCGTCAGGTCACAAAAGACGCTCTTTCATCGTATTGTAAAAATTGGTGTAAAAGGGAAAAATTTGATAAAAAATCTCTTGATTCTTATCTAAATAAATGTATGAATGTTGTGGATATTCGAATATCACATTTCGAAAATAATTCAGAAATACATAAAAGAGTATATAATACGCCTATTTCTAGAATAAGAAACAAACTTCAAGTACTTCCACAGCGGTTTGTGTTTGTACCGACCGACAAAGCAGCCAATAATGTGGTGGTGGTATGCTATAAATACTACACGGACGTTCTTAAGAATGAAATTTTAAATTCTTCTAGATTCAAGACTGTGCGCTTCACAGAGAGTCATATAGTAAACAAAAATATCATAACCTCATCACAGCTTAAAGCCTTTTCTGAACATTTGAAGGTCCCTACTATGTATTGGTTATCTTAACTACACAACAAACCAGTAAAATCTCGTTTCATCCCGGCCTCTAGTAAGTGTTCTACAACTAATCTTTCAGTGATTTTAACTAGTTCCTTAACTACTATCAAAGAACCTATCATTAACTTTTGTAATAAAATATATGAAAATAGTGGAATTAACTATTTTTGGAGTGTAAAAAAATCTTTGGATGTTTTAGATAAATTGCGTGCTTTTGATGGTCCTTTTGATTCTGTTGACAGTTTTGACTTTTCAACTCTTTACACTACTCTTCCACACAATCAATAAGTTTTCCTATTTTATTAAATGGTCGTTTGGTAAATCTGAATGCAAATATATTTGCTGAAACTCATTTAAAGCCTTCTTCTCTAATGACAAAGGTAAATATGCTAGATATACTTACTGGAGGTGTGATGAGATGATTGAAGCTGTTAATTTTCTCCTTGACAATATTTATGTACGTTCCGGCAATAAAGTTTATCGACAGGTTGTAGGTATTCCTATGGGCACTTATTGCGCCCCTTTAATAACAGACTTGTTCTTGTACTGTTATGAATCACAGTTTATGACCAAACTCAGTAAAGACCCGTCTAAATTGCATTTAATTGATAAATTCAACAACACTTACCGTTATTTTGATTATATTTATTCGTTAAATGATCAAGGATTTTCTAAATATACTCCCGAAAGTTACCCAAAAGGAACTTACTTTAAATAATCAAATACAAACGGTAATAACTGCCCTTTCCTAGATTAAGATATTTCAGTTTCACACGTGAAACTCTATACTTAAATGTACGACAAAAAGGACGATTTTTCTTTCCCTATTGTTAATTTTCCTTTTTTGGACGGTTATGTTCCTTTGGCACCATCTTACGGTATTTATATATCACAACTTGTTCGCTATGCCATTGTCTGTTGTGACGTTTTGGATTTCAATGAACGTAATCTATGTATTACTGGTAAATTCTGAAGTCAGTGATTTCGTAACCACAAATAACTCAAAACCTTTACTAAATTCTTCCATAGATATAAAGATTTGGTTTGGAAGTTTGGTTGTATCTGTAGAAAACTTATTTCAAACGGGATAGCATATCCTAATTTTTACAGAGATGTTGTTAACCGAGCCCGGAAATTTAGAAATCATCCGGGTAAACTTATCGATCCTTTATATAAATTTATCTAAAAGGTTACCAATTCAACACTGTAATTAGATCTTTAAATACAGTTTTTATTAGTATTAATATTGATTTTGTTATCAGTGAATTAAAATCACACTAAATATTATTTTTATATACACATGCATATTCATAGCTCTACAATCTGTCGATACCTGTATCTTAGCATTTCACAAGATCATGTTTTTCTCTGACTGTTTATGACGTCTTTATACTAAATCCATTGGATGTTGGATGTGTACTGATTGAGATTTTAGTCTTTTTTTATTAGTTATTATTGGCTTTGAACTAGCTGTCAGTAACTGCGAGTACTCTCAGAAGTGTCTTTTTCTTGTGGGAATGTATAAGTAGCCTGCCACGTCCACTCTGTGTTTTTGTTACCTGTTTTTGTGCTTTGTATCTATCTGATGAGGTAAGCCCTTTTCAACTGATTTTTATAGTTTGTTCATATGTTGTACTGTTACACCACTGTCCCAGGTTAGGGAGAGGGTTGGGCGCCCGCTAACATGTTTAACCCCGCCACATTCTGTACGTGCCTGTCCCAAGTCAGGAACCTGTAGTTCAGTGGTTGTTGTTTGTTACTGTATATCATATTTGTGTTTCGTTCATTATTTTTTACATTAATCAGGCCGTTAGTTTTCTCGTTTGAATTGTTTCACATTTGTCATTTCGGGGCGTTTTATAGCTGACTATGCGGTATGGGCTTTGTTCATTGTTGAAGGCCGTACGGTGACCTAAAGTTGTTAATTTCTGTGTCATTTGGTCTCTTGTGGAGAGTTGTCTCATTGGCAATAATACCACATCTTCTTATTTTTATAGTAGACAAGTTACCCTTGATTTATTTTTTTTAAAGAAGCCTGTTTTCAAACAGTCTATCAATCTTGACCACACATGACACAGTTTCACAGTGTCATGTGTGTATATTGAGGTTCTCTCAATATCAATAGTATAGCGTTTTAATAACTATATGAGCAAACTAATAGTGTCCAAAAAGAAAGATCAAGATTGCAACAGAAGAGTACATGTAAAAAAAATGTATACGATAAACATTCTTTAACAAAACCAAAATTCAAATTGAAGTAAAGTGATATACCGGTATAGTTCAACAGACACAAATTTAAATATTTTGATAAAAGATCTCCCCGATGTCAAATTTTACCAAAACATGTAAAATATGCATAATTGGCCCAACCATTTACAAATACAGATTCTGTATCAAATATGATTGGACAAAGCAGTAATTTTTAAGTATTTTCGTCACAATTAACATGAAATTCATCTTCATCAAGTTACGATTAAAAGTGGTCAATGTTATCGTAAAATAAACTTTCCTCCATAAACTTATTTTCTAAGTGGGCGTTGTTTTAGTATTTGATCAAAATTATTAGAGTTTGGATAACAATAGAAAAGTATGGGGCATAGTATTTGCAACCACATAAGAAATGTGGATTTTTGATAGTCTATTCTTGAAAAATGATATAACTCGACAGGACACGATTTACAGCTTGACATATTTTGTTGATACCTGTCTAAAGACTGCATTATACTCTCTATTTGTCTTTTGGTTATTTGTGTAGTTGGATTGTTGTCTCATCGACGTACTTTCCACATCTCCCTTTTTCATGTTTGTAGAAATCATAGAAAAGTACTCACCAAAGATACCAGGCTTATAATTTTGTACGCCACCTTCATGGAGTTGACCTTATTATGCAATGTCAGTCATTATACTTCTTGGTCGGTATTTGAACATTAAAGTATTTTAACTTAACACGTAAAAATAGAAACGCAGTAGTGTTCATTCATGTTTTAGTTGATTTGGCAATTGTGTTTTTTGTAACAAAATAATGTCAACTAATTTTAAAATGTAAAATTTAGGTACTCAACTGCAGTCCAAGTGCTACCAGGAGACGAAATAATAACGACATGCAAGTTCAAATCCCTTTCAAGGCCAAAGACCACGTTTTATGGTGACGCTACAAGTGACGAGATGTGTTTCGGATTCATGGCTTTTTACCCTGCTGCAAACATGCCATTCTCTACGTGCACAGCATGGAAAGATATCCCAGTATGTAATCTGTGGCTTCAACAAGAACATAACGATTGCAAATGGGCTGATTTTATATTTGTCAATGTAAATGAAACAAAGCGTATAAAAGATGAAGTAATGGCAAATTGTAAACCGTTCGGGAATTGTCTATCTGAATGCAAAGCGACACTTCAGGTCCTTTTTGCAGAGCATCCATGCATGAAAGGTGACGTATACGAATTGATCAAACAAATGACTATTCAGTGGGACAATAAGGAAATGCAGGGATTCATTTTGGCAGTTGATTCATGTAAAGCTGAAATGGCTGCCGATTTGTACCTTCAAAACCTTCAAAATGACAATACTAATGGATCTTACCGGTTGGATGGTATCAGTTCACTACTGGTATCTCTGATTGTTTATATGATGATGAATTAATTATTCTTTACTGTTTGTAGTCTAAAATCAAAAGTTAAAACAAGAGGTAAAATGTAGGCCTAATTGAAGCCTCTATCTTCCCGTGCATCTACAACTGATAGGTATGATACACAAACATCGATGACATTAACACTTGGGCTTACATTTCGTGAGTGTATAACATCCTATGTTATGGAACTCCCCGATTCCCGTTCACTTAATGCAGAAGTCAGCTAATCTAACTTAAAACTTGGCTGTGTGAAGTCAACGCTTTTATCACCATAACCCCAACAAACACATAACTATAGATGATGTCCAGAACAGTTTAATCTGGTATATTTTTGCCAACTGTCCGTTATAGTCGCGTTTACGCTGATCGATTATAAGTTTTACTGCACCAGTAATAATAAAATACACTATCAAGGATAAAAAAAAACTCCGACTTACCACTGAGAAAAAATTATACAAAGGAAACAATCGAGGATCTGAGACCTCTTCATTGCTCACCCATTTGAACAAAAACATTTTAGAGCAAAGAATTTTATTATCTCTTTGATTGTCTCACATTAAAAGCAAGTTAGTTTCCATCTTAGAAGCTCATATTTCATTTCATCTTTTCAGTGTTTTTAAGAATTTTACTTGCACATTTTTGTGTTAATACTTTATACATATTTCGATATTCATGAATCTGAATAAATGATATACATTATTGTTTCTACTATTTATATTAATTTACTGAATATATATATACTAGTAGTTGTTCGAAAATTGTCTAATTGAAATCCATCCTAACAGCTTTGAATTTATTCAATAATATTTCTAACATATCTCAATATTGTCTTCTGATGTTGTTGCAATGTTGCACAACAGGTGGTCACGATAGTAGATAAATGAAAAAAGGTGAGGGTTGGTGGAAGGCATGTTCGTTAAAGATATGTTCCTGATAACAGTTCATCCAGAAAGGCTTTTCAAACACAGAAAAAGAAAAGATAATATGTTAGCCATGGTAGTCTTTGAGTCACTTATATCAAATACGATAAATTTACTGTGTATAATGTGTCAAATTTATCGAAACACTAAGGGTTTTCTACCCCAAGGCATACATTGCCTTCGTCGTATTATGCTAATTCGATATTGTTGTCTTTAATCATCAATGCTATTCGACATCGGTTTTGCTTTGTCCTTAATAGTTTTCCAAGATATTTGACAATTTATGATACGAAGGTATACAGGCATCACGCCTAAGAACAAAATGTTTGACAAAATTTCACGACCTCCGGTTCCATAACATATGCTCGGAATTATTTTAGGACCAGGTATTTTTTTGCCGATTTCCACCTTTATTCTTATAATGTAGTATTCAAACAAGACCTTCTCAAGAAAAGTGGAAAGGAGCTGACCTTAACCTTTGGATTTACATGTGGAGCAGGATCTGCCAGCCCTTCCGGAGCACATGAGACCACCTCCGGTTTGTGATGAGGTTCGCGTTGCACAGTCTTTAGTATTCTATGATGTGTTTTGTGTACTGTTGTTTGTCTTTTAATCGTTTTTCGTTTTTTTCATGGCATTGTCATTTTGTTTTCGAATTGAGTTTGAATTTCCCTTTGGCATATATCGCTTCTATTTTACGTTCCGCTATATACATGATGTCCTTTCACTGAATGAGTTAAAGAATAAAAAAATTTAAGTTAAGATTTTTCATGACCGAATGTTAATACATGTAGTGATTTGTATGGTTAAATTCGAATTATTTACTAATCTGCTATTTTGTGCTACCTAATCAACGAATATGTCTCATAAACGTATTTTAACATTGGGTTTATACTGCTGCTACTGTAAGTTCTTTAGGGTATCATCAGCTTTATAGTCAGTGCTGGCTTAGGTTTAAGCTTTCCTGATAAAGACTAATAGAGCTTTCTTGATGAAGACTAATCTAGAAAAACGCTTTAGACGCAAGAAATTTACAAAGTGATTTTTTCATTAAACAGGAGTAACACGACGACTACTAAAAAAGGAAATGTTGACCTTTCCTGGTCATCTAAATTCATAGCCGGTTTCTAAGGGTCATGTGTTCTCAATCTTAAGTTTCTTTGTAATGTTTTGTTGTTTGTCTGTTGTCATTTTTATTGCGCCTGTGACTAATGTCTCAAAATGCGAGATATAGGGAAGCTTATCCGGCGGGGTAACATCTTTGTAAAAGCTTCATATTTCAAAAGGTAAAAGACATTGATACTTCATATCTTGCATCCATACAGATGTCTATCATGCCTGAAGTTGGCATTTGACCTCATTAAAATGGTATAGTGTTTTTCTCAAATTTATATTAGTATTGATGAATAATATGCCCACTTTATTTGATATATACATTGCAAGGTATATATGTCTGTCAGACAGGGTTCAGCTGACCTGATTTCAAAGAACAATGATTATCTTTATATTTCGTTATAAGGTGCATTTTTCAGATACTATAATCTATTGGTCAACTACATTAGATATGTATAACAATTTTAAGAGGCACATGTGCGTCTGTTAGGGTTCATTTAACCACGACGTCATTTTTATGGTATACTAGTCAATAAACGAAAACCGAGGAAACTGCAGTAAGTCGAAAGGGAGCGAGACCGGTTACGTCTCATGCCATGCATGCAAAAATTGCAATGCCAATCGACACTAAATGTTAAAATACACGTAATTTTGATTAACCATTTTACTAAAATTGAGATTAAATTGGGAGCATGTCCCATGATATCATGCAAACAACGCCTTTTGGGTCTGGACAGAAAAGTTTTCCAATGATAGAATTCATGCTAAACAAAAAAGTATACGTCATATACTTATTAGCTCACCTGACTCAAACAGCTTTTGGACGTCGACCCAAATGGTCAAGTGAGGTAATGTCATCCCTTTATCTGCACCTTCGCCAGGAAACTATTCTCATTTTAATCATCGCAAATTGGCTATGGTCAAAATTTATAATTATTGGCTGAAAGTTCAGTGATCCTATGAGCAATTTCTTTGCATACAAAATCGGGATAATGTAGAGGGTCCTTTATTATTTTTTTAACTTTTAGTACCAAAAATCAAATCCTAGACGCCCGTCATAGGAACATGATTTAACATATTACCGTAAACTAATGATTAATCGGTGATCTTATACTAGTTTGCTGTACCAAAGTAAGAAACTACCGATACACTGGAACATGAAAGAAACATACAAAATTACTTACAACCATATTGTGATGAACAACTTAATAAATGTACTAAATACACCTTAAAGTAAAACCCTCAATTTGAATAAAAAAAACTGTTTGTCATGTTCCAAAGAGGAATAAATAAAGAGGAGTATACTTCTATAACATAACTATTTGTATTATGAACATTCCAAGGTTCTGAAGGGCCTTGGTGGTCGAGGTGTTTAAAGAATCGAAAACTGTACCACTAGCTTGTAAACACTGGGGTTGTGTGCTCGACTCAAATCTTAATTGATTAGAATTGTCAGTTTTCCTACTGAAAATCGGTGATTCCCTCCGGGCACTCCGGTTTCCTACATTTAATAAAAACAGGCCGCCACGAAATAGCACAATAGTGATGAAAATGGCGGTTAACATCAATCATTAAATCAATCAATCCAAGGTTCTGACTTAAACGTAATAACATAAATCCAACAGTTATTGTTCATACTGAATTTTATACACACTTCTAATAAACGATAAAAAAATATAACAGTTAACCCCGAATGATTTGAAAGTACAACAGATTGCACTAATCGCCAGTTTCTTTCCGTCGTGTTACTCATGTACGTACAAATCCGGTGGTAAGTCTAAATAATAGGGTCACGTTCTTAGAAGAGAGAACGGGATTGTGGTTATGACAATTGGAACAAATTGGATGATTTCTACTTCACCGCTTGGAACCCTTGGTTAAATTGCGTCATTGTGTGCAGCAGTTCAGTATTAAGGAAATCATGATAGGAAATGCAATCCATGAAATATCGTATCAACGGGGAGGTACCGTAAATTGGGTTATTTTGGTTGTAGTTTTATTTTGGTTTATTTGGAGCCTCCAATGAAAGTGCTAAAATTAAACACACGAAAATAAAGCACAGTAAAAATTGAAACGCCAAAATCGCGTACCGCTACAACAATATCGTAATGTTAATTGTGGGGGAAAATTTTTTTTGTTATTATATCTTCCGTATATTTCCTACAATTCTATAACATAGCCAAATCTGGAAATAAATACCTGGTATAATTTGACAACAACAATATATAATTTTTACTTAATTGTCAATTTTCTAAAATTGTTAAGAAAACACAACATGATTTTTTATTCACACATGTCATAAATATGCCAGGTTATTGCTGATTAGACGCCGTTATTGGTAATTAGAATATCAAAACTCCTTGTAATCCTTTATCTTCAATGAATTTAACATGTACTGCCAGAGGTATAAGGATTAAAATTTAAATCCTTGATCGTCAATAGATTAACATGTACTGCAATAGAGATGAATACAATTGATTTCATATGATATTTGTAAAAAATAAGTAATCTATTTAAAAAGTGATTTTAATGTTAAGGATTTTATTTCATATTTTCTTTTAGTTTTGAACGACGATATACGGAATTATTTGCAATTGCATCCGTATCCGATTCCTTCATTAAGTTAACTTTTTCGTGTTTCTAGCTTAAGAAATTCAATGATATTTTGTCAATAAACCAGTACATAACGGCAAATATGAATGAGCTTGCTCAGTACTGTTGTTCCAAAATTAAACATATCAATTGGACGAAGCACCAAAATTACACACACCAAAATAAAACACATGCCTTTAGAGAGAAAACTGCCAAAATATCCCGACGCCAAAATTTCCCAATTTACGGTATATACTCCATATGCAGGTGTAACAGTGGTTTGATTCCGCCAGTGTACTCTATCCGGAGAAAGAAAATCCCCAGTGATTTTTATCCACCAACAAAAATTCACTAGGTTTTTCTATCCGGGTCCAGTGTAAAACATCCACCAGTCATTATAAGGTTCTAAAAATGTTTTTTGAAGGGGAAATATATATAAAATGTGGCTTAATAGTTTTAAGTGTATTTGAAACTTGCATAGTTGATTTATGTAAAAAGTGGAGAGCTTTTATCCAACGAATGTTCACATTAGTGTTTTTGTACCGGAATGATTGCACTAGTTATTTTATACCGGGATTAATTACACTAGTGCTTTAGATCCATACATTGATGAAGTGATTAATACTTATTTTGAACACGATAACACAATAACGCTTATTAACGAATAAGATTTAAATAATTTTTTCTATTTAAATCTATAAAATCATATGCATTTAAATTGTCACTGATTGTAATATTTATATTTATTGGATTGCCAAAGTTTTACTGTGTATTTTTCTTTCCGGTCGACTTGGATATAAAATCATATCTTCTATGTCAATATCATTGGATGCTTCTATAATTGAAACTTTATGTAAGAACAAATCTGCTCTTTAAATTTGGTTTATATCAAGTTCAATGTCCTGATCATTGATAAAGTATTTTGAGTTATAAAAATATCCTCCTCATCATCATCAATATTATTTACTGGATTGACTCAGATCAAATAAACCTTGAAAATCATTATAATTTTAACCCATTTATTTATGTAAACAATAAACCGGTCTAATATAAACAAAACAACAATATCAAGATCGACG